CAAAACTAGAAATCTGTCAATTTTAGAGCATGAGAGGTTGCCCCTCTGATTGGACAGCGCTATTTGTCACCCAAGAGTAGTATATCCACTAAATCTAGCTTGTCCATAGTTTCCTTAAATTTTTTGGCACAACTCCGGAAGGAATGCTCACCTGATATCTCATTGCTGTGTAGAACCATATTGAAGTCTTCCCCTACAATCCACAGCCAATCCCACTTACATTTACAGTCTTCCAAATCTTTCCATAATACTCGTCTCTCTCTCCCTTCACCTCTATTGTAAACTCATGTGAAAAACCATTTCTATGGTCTTTGAATAGATAGGAGATTGTAGACTCGCCTACTAGGGTTTCCACGCAATCCATACTCTCCTTTTTTCCGTAAAAAGAGAATACCCCCAGAAAAGTCATTAGCCGGTAATTCCTTCCAACTGACCTCCTTAACCTTCTACAAACTTTGGATGATCCCCTCAACCTTAGACTCCATATTTGTTTCCTGCAAGCAGACCAAATCAGGATTCCACCACCTCATACAACCTCTAATTACTTGCCTATAACTAGATTACATTTAGGGTTTTTTATATTAAGTTTGCTATTTGGATTCTTCAACTATAACTAGATTACGCGGTCTTAAAACTAATCTTTATGAATACTTCAACTTCACTTTTGAAATGAAGTTTTTAGTGATTAAACTATGATTAGATTTTTCTGAATACCTTGGTCGTCAATCAAATATTATGATGCTTAAGAACTCCTTTCTTAGTTGTAATGTTTAAGAAACCCGAGGTGTAATATTTTTTTTAACTTTATTTTATACATCAATATACGTTATAACTCTTGCTTATTAATTTCTTAAATTAGATATACATGACACCTACAATGATTTAGGATGTTTTTGTCTGTCTGACTATCACCGACTATCTCTATAAGTTGGAAAAGGTTTGTTGATATTTCAAAATCAGTTCAAACAAAAGAGTAGATCCTAAGAATGTAATATAGGAATTCAGATTTTGGTGAATTTGTTACTTTATATGCTTGTAACATTGGTGAAATCAATAATCATTTTCAAGCTGCTGTTTCTCGAGCAATAACTGAACTGATTATTTCATATACTGCAGTCAACATGACAGGCAAACAGAGAGAATTCGGAGGGCTAGACCATGGTGATGATCAGGCAGCACTGCTAAATTCTGAAAGCAAGCCATTGACACAAATTGTTCAAGATGATTCATTCAGGGAATTTGAATTTAGACAGTACCTCTTTGCCTGCCAATCAAAGGTGCAAGGAACAATAATTTAGGACATTAGAAATGTTGTGCACCTTTTGTTTTGAGTAAAATTTATTTTCCAACTAAATGGTTTATTTGATTGAAGATGGAGCCATCATATATTTTGCTTACAGAAATCCAATTTTGTAAATGCTTAAAGTACTTGAGGGCAAAATTAGTTTTGGATATTGACTATTGACAACCCTAGTAAAGGGGAAGATTCTTTTGAATGGGTGCTAACTGTGCAAGAGGGTGGTTAACCACCTCCTTTTTGTGTGGTCCTGTCTCCTTTCGACTTTGGTCTACTGCTTTTGAGTTTCTTGGTTTGAGTTGTGCGATGGCAGGTTTCGTGGTAGAAGAAATTTGGGTTGGCAGGCATCTGGGATGATAAGCGTAGGAAGAAACTCATATCTCTTATACCGTCTAGTGGTGTTACTGGAAAGGAGAAAATAGAGGGGTTTATGAGGGAATTGCTTTCTCCCTCATTAGGAATAGAGATATGTTCCAGACCTTCTGATTCTTGTTCAAGGGTTATCCTCTTGATTCAGTTGAGAATTTGGAGGACCTTATTGATGACATGTTGACTGATCTATAATGTTTTTAGACTTATTTTGCATCCACTTGTGCCTTGTTTACGTACTTTTCGACTTTTTCTTTTCTAGAACATGATATGCCAAATATCTTTTAAAATAATAGCCTTGGCATCCTATTGCAAAATTATCTATATAGAGGAAAATGAAAGTTTCTAATCGTAATCATATAAATAAAAGACAGTTCTTGCTAGTTGAGCATGCCCTGAATATCTTTTTTTTATTCTTCAGTTCATATATGCAAACAAGCATTTAATTGTTACAGAGTAAAATCCCAAACTATGTATTGGCATTTGAATTCAGTCTCACCAATGTCTTGACTGCAGCTTTTGTTCAAGCTGAATCGTCCCTTTGAGGTCGCATCCAGGGGCTATTCATTTGTAATTAGCTTTGCAAAGGCCTTGACACTAAATGAGGTACTTGCTATGTTTCATTAACACTTCGTCAATACTTAATGTGTTAGTTTGAGAATTATTTACACTGATCATTCTTCCAGTTTCTCTTTATCTTATTCTCTTCCCTTGGATATTTTATAGAATATATTACCTTTTTGTATGCGCGAAGTTTGGGTAACTACTGCATGCTTGGCATTGATCAATGCATCTGCTTCTCACTATGATGATGGACTCGTTGCACCTGATATTGAAAAAGAATTCTACCGTCTTCAGGGTGATCTTTATTCACTGTGTAGGGTTAAGGTAAATTTTTTTTGGCATTTAACGGGTGATAAGGGACTTACAAAATATATATTTGGTTTGACTGATTTGCCGTGATGCGTCCATCTAACTTGGTGGAAATAACTGAACTTTTGAAGCTAAATGTCCAGGCCGCATGAGAGCCTTTGTCTTGGATCCTGACCCTTTATACATGTTGATCTCCTTCTTAGTTCATTCATGCAGTATTCGTTTTCTTCTTAAAAGAGAATAATATAGAATTCCATGATGTTAATGATGGTTGTTTGATACATGTTTACTCACTCCTATTTCAAGTTTGTTGGACTAAGCTGCTATCCTCGTTGCATTGCTCTATTTCATGAGGCTTGCATATCATATTACATACTGAATGTTTACTGATTCCTATTTCATGTTTGTAAGAACTTAGCTGCTTAGTTAAATGTGTGTTGCATTGTTGCAGTTCTTGAGGCTCGCGTATCTAATGGGATATGGGACAGATATAGAAAGAAGTCCGGTGAACAGGTGTAGATCCATTGCAGTTAACTTACATTAAGTTGATTGATTCTTTGTTCTGAAAGCAAGCTTGGTCTTCTAGTCCAATTGTCTTTGCCTTTGCTTAGTTCTTTTCGTTTTAATTATTGCTATGATACGTAATGCATCTTTCCCTTCTATGGGCAGTGCTTCGCTTAGCATGCTACCTTGGCCCAAACCAGCGGTTTGGCCTTCTGTTCCACCTGATGCTTCCTCTGAGGTGCTTGCAAAAGAAAAGGCAAGTTTTTGAAATGCTAAATGCATTACACTCGCTAGAGGCAGTTTGATATGCCCCATATTTTTTCTTACTGAAAGGCCGTCTTGTTATTTTATTTCTTATTATTACTACTGAAGTTTTAGAAGTTTCAATCACAATTGCCAACTGCATCACATGGTTTTGGACAGGATTATTTTCTTCACCTTGGGTTAAAGCTCACTGTTCTTTTAAAGATACGCCACTTTGTACAGGGATTCAATAGTCTTTATTTTTTCTTTTAAGGCTTTTTTACAGTATTTTTGTGCTTGTTGTCATAGTTTTTGGTTGAAGGACACCTTATCCTTTCCGCTTTTGTATATTCTCTTTCTTTTCAATAAAGTTCTTATATGAATATATATATAAATATATACATTACTATTTACACATGCTCCTTTCTTTTCTAAGAACTTCTATACTTTTTCCCTACCTATTTCTTGAAAAACCTAAGCTGACTTGGTAATGTAGTAAGTCATTGTCACTTGAATTCTGTTTACCATTAGATTCATTAAAAGAAATTTCAAATATGTATTTGATGAACTGAATGATAAACGGAGCATAAGTCAACAATGACTTGATTTACTGTCGCGTCGCTGTTAACTCCTATTATTTGTCAATTGATATAAGTCATGGAATTGAAAATTTTCACCAGAAACTGCCATTACTATAATACATAAATTACCTACATAGTAGCTATAACTGGCTAAATAGATATGAGATGTAAAATATTTTTCTAACTTCACATGTGATGACTCTCTCGTATATAGGTGTTGTCAAAAATACTTTTCTATATAAAGCAATACTTTTATAGGTGAAATGTTTATATGTTTTATATTATAGGTGAAATGTTTATATCTTAGATTAATCACAAAATGTAAAGAATGTTTACATACTATAGGAATCATAATATTTATCTGATGAATAAAAATTAAAATAAAAATAAGTAAGGTTTACCATAGTACGAATGCTTATTCCAGACGTGCTGTCCTCTTTTATGATAAATTAACTTTTTGGTATCTCTTTAAAAATTTTCTGCTTCGTTACTGATTTTCCTTTTGGTGCTTTGTTGATAACAATTTATTTTCCTTTAAAAACAGTCTAGTAATTGCCTCAATAATCTTTTCTGAAACTTGGATGAGGTTTTGATTGTAAGTGAAGCATAAACATCCTACCATGGGAGGTGATAGCTGCAAGTGAATGAATCTTTCCATGATCTGATTTGCATCTTTCATTTTTGATCATATATCTGTGAAGTTGTTTCAGTCATGGTTACGGGCATCCTTTGTAGGTGCCCATGTAATAATATATTTGCATGTCGACATTGTTTCCATTCTTTTCAATGCACACAGAGACACATGCTAATTAATTAAACACTACTGTTTTTCTTAAGTGATAGCTGAGATCATGGGATGTCATGTCCAGAACTCAACTGAAGGTTCTAAAGCAGTTACTATTATCATAATATTGGCTTTTATGATTTTTTTATAGAAGGTTTTTAAGGTTCTATGACGTACATGATTGACTAATTTTATGTCTGGTTGACTTTTCCTTTTACATTTTCATTTATCTATCTGATAAGTTTCAAGGCATTTGTTGCTCCTTTCTATTTTATTGCAGATGATTCTTCAATCAAGTCCTAGAGCCAAGCACTTTAGCATCCAAAGAAAACCTTTGCCTCTTGAACCTTCTGTACTCCTACGTGAAGCTAATCGACGAAGGGCTTCTCTTTCTGCTGGAAATATGTGTGAAATACTTGATGGGTAATGAAATTCAAGATTACGAAATATGATGATTTTCATTTTTCAAGGATGACTTCGCTTTTAAATATCAACTAATTATCTACATTTTTCTTTGATATTATTGAAATGATAAATATGCTGACAGACCAGGTTATGAAGCATTATTAAGGATGTCCCCTTCAAATAAAGCACAACCAATTTCTATGTCACGGACAAACTCTTCTCCTGGAAATTTTGAGAGTTCAATTGATCGACCTATGAGACTTGCTGAAATTTTTGTTGCTGCTGAGCATGCTCTGCAGCATACAATTTCAAATTGCGAGCTATGGAAATCTTTATCATCTGTCGAGGAATTTGAGGTATTGTAATTGGGCTGTATGCAAGCTCATTCTATTTCTACTCAAGAAAAAACTACTGAAATATATGAGTGTGCAGATGTGTAAATAACCTGCTAATTTTTCTCTTAACATGATCTTATTTCTATTGTCTATTTTATTCAGT